GTTATGTCCCCATGCCACAACCTCGAACCATCACTGGTTGCCAGGGACAAGTTCTCGGCTCCTCAGCATAAAACCTGATGAGTGGATGCACCTGTCGCCTATTTATACCCGTATGCACGGGGAGTGTCAGCATGCAAAATCCACTAGCCAAATTTCATTGGCGTTTTCTCTTAATCAGAGAGGATTCGGGCTCCCAAGTAAGACATAACGTCTCCATTCCCTCCATCAGGGAACGAGGGTTACATACGTAACCGAGACGTTTTCTGTCGTGTCTCTGGTTGTAGGTGCTGAACTGCATTGTGGACATGGTGGAGAAGACGCGGCGTTCGGTGAGCGTTCTGCGGCGCTGTCAGGAGTCCGACCGCGAGGAGCTCAATTACTGGCGGCGACCCTCCAACCCACACGACGACGGGCGCAAGAACGGATCGGCTGCAGGGAACGTCCCATTCAGCAAGACACACAGCCCTCTGTCAGCAGAGGGAGTCAACACAGGTGAGTCATTTAGGAGTTCAGAATCATTTCAAGTTTGATTCACCTTTGTTTATAGTGCTTTATACAATACAGACTGTTTCAAAGCAGCTTCACAGTATTAAACAGCTAAATAACAGAATCAGTGATGCAAATTTCATCAAATATGAGACAAATTCTGCTGTAAAGCAGCTCTAAAAACACAATAGTGTCATTATTCAGTTCAGTTCAAGACCTGTTCATTTCATTAATTATGAAACAAGTTAATAATTCAGTGTTAACTGAAGACTGTTTTAATTCAGTTCAACAACAGAACAATAATTAATCATGAATGAATCAATTTAGCTATAAGCAGCTCTACAGAAGACAATAATGTCATTATTCAGTTCAGTGTTGATTCAGTTCAGTTCAATAACTGTGTAAAATTCATTAATTATGAAACAAGTTAATTCAGAGTTAACTAAAGACAGTTTTAATTCAATTCAACAACAGAAAATTCATCAATTATGAATGAATCAATTCAGCTATAAGCAACTCTACAGAAGACAATAGTGTCATTATTCTGTTCATTTCAGTTCAGTGTTGATTCAGTTCAGTTCAATAACTGTGTTAATGTTCATTCATTATGAAACAAGTTCAGTTCAGCCATAAGCAGGTTTACTAAAGACTGTAGTGTTGTTATTCAGCTCGAATCAATTTAATGTTGATTCAGTTCAGTTTAACAACAGAAAATGAATCAATTATGAACAAATTTGATTCAGCTATAAAGCAGCTCTACAGAAGACAATAACTTAATCATTCAGCTCGATTCAGTTCAAGTTTTGTTTTCATCCGATGGTTTCAGTGCAGTCAAATTGATAATATTACTGAATATTGAAGGGACAGTTCACCCAGTTGACGGTAGCCATTGACTTCCATGGTAAGGAAAGAAATACTATGGAAGTCAATGGCTACCGTAACTGTTTGGTCACGAAATATCAAAATTATCATCTTTTGTGCTCAAAAGAAGAAGGAAACTCGTACAGGTTTGGAACAGCATGAGGATAATAAATGGCAGAATTTTCATTTTTGTGTGAACCGTCCCTTTAAGTGTCTTTTAAAACCCAACTAGCAGACGAAGTCGTGTGTGTGTGTGTGTGTGAGAAAGAGCCTGCTGATGGAGCAGGTGTTGTGTATTTGAGTCCAGGCTGAGAGAATATCGTCTCAAGCGCTGTGGTCTGGCCTCGTTCCTCACCGCCATCTGTGACCAAACGCTGCCCAAAACTCTCCAAGCGGCTCACGTGCCTCCATATCCGTCCCTCCTGCATGCTTCTGAAGCGTTTCGATGCTCCTAATGTATTTGTTTTTGTGTCCCGCAGACTCTCAGAGGGATCTTCCCCTGCGCTCCGGCTCTGGATACATGCCTGATGAGATATGGAGGAAAGCCGGTAAGGGCAGCAACCCAGATGCACCCTGGGAAACCTGTTTTCTCCTCTGCCACCTGTTCATCAGTCTTGTTTCTCATTAATCACACTTTCAGACTCAAAGCTCTTTGCTGGATATTATCACAAGAAAATACGGTGCATGAAACAAAATGTTGATGCATATGTGGTTTGATTCTGCAGAGGAAGCGGTGAACGAGGTGAAGCGTCAGGCGATGGACGAGGTGCAGAAGGCCGTCACCGAGGCCGAGCAGAAAGCCTTCGAGATGATCACCGCCGAGAGAGCCAAGATGGAGAAAACCCTCGCCGAGGCCAAGAGGAAAGCCACCGAAGACGCCATACAGGTCATCAACGAGCAGGAAGACTCCAGCGAGGTGAGCGTCACGCTAAACACACATTCATTCAGTCACCGACCGCAGATGCTGCATGCACTGATATAGCAATGCATCATGAATATTTAAATTGGGTCATTCTTTTCTGGCTTCCTTTTTATGCAAATGAGGCTCATTATAATGCAAACATTCGCCTGATTGAATCAACATTTGGTTATTTTAAAATCTAAACTGGGTGCTAGAACAGAAATGCACAGAAAGTGCATGCAAATAACAAATATCACTATTAGAAGACACAATATTAAATAAATATACAAACATTACAATATTACAGTACTACACATCAGCATTCCAGATTTTTTTTGCTCACCAAGGCTGCATTTATTTGATCAAAAATACAGTAAAAACTGTAAAATTGTAAAATATTATTAGAATTTAAAACAGCTGTTTTCTATGTAAATATCTGTTAAAGTGTAATTTATTTCTGTGATCAAAGCTGTATTTTCAGCATCATTACTCCAGTCTTCAGTGTCACATGATCTTCAGAAATCATTCTAATATGCTGATTTGCTGCTCAAGAAACATTTCTGATTATTATCAATGTTGAAAACAGTTGTGCTGCCCAATATTTTTGTGGAAACTGTGATATATTTATTTTTTCAGGATTCACAGATTAATACAAGGAACAGCATTTATTTGAAATAGAAATCTTTTGTAACATTATAAATACCTTAACAGTCACTTAATCAATTTAATGCATCCTTAATGAATAAAAGTATTAATTTTTTCCTGAAAAAATCTTGCTGACCCCAAACTTTTGAATGATAGTGTATATACCATGGTATTTAACAATTTACTTACAAGTACCATGGTACTACTAAACATAATTACTGACTTACATACGTTTTACTGTCACCTTTAATCAATTTAATGCATCCTTGTTGAATAAAACTAAATAAATAAGCAAAAAACTTAAAAATTAACATAAAAATAAATGTATTAAATTAATATAATATTATATTAATATTTTATATATATATATATATATCACGATTAATCGCATCCAAAATAAAAGTATTTTACATGTAAATATTTTCAAAATATATTCTGTATGTGTGTGTCTTTTATATACATAAATATACACAGTACACACACATAAATTATATAAACAAAACCTTTTATTTTGGATGCGATTAATTGTTGCCCAGCACTAATAGCACTAATACTATATATATATTCATATGTATATATGTGTGTCACTTTTAATCAGTTTAATGTTCAATGTGTTTATTTGTGACCCTGGACCACAGAAATTGAGATTTATACATCATCTGAAATCTGAATAAATAATCTTTCCATTGATGTATGGTTTGTTAGGATAGGACAATATTTGGCCGAGATACAACTATTTGAAAACCTGGAATCTGAGGGTGCAAAAAAATCTAAATATTGAGAAAATCATCTTTAAAGTTGTCCAAATGAAGTTCTTAGCAATGCATATTACTAATCAAAAATTAAGTTTTGATATATTTACGGTAGGAAATTTACAAAATATCTTCATGGAACATGATCTTTACTTAATATCCTAATGATTTTCGGCATAAAAGAAAAATCTATAATTTTGTAGTGTTTGTAATGTATTGTTGGCTATTGCTACAAATATACCCCAGCGACTTAAGACTGCTTTTGTGCTCCAGGGTCACATTTGTCATTGCTTAATAAGTATATATAAAAGTATTTGTTTAGTATTATATTTAAAAGTGTAATGTTTCTATATTTATAATGTAATGTTTACTGACTGTAAGCAGTAATTTTTCTGATTCGCTCACGCTCTCTCTCTGGTCCTCAGTGCTGCTGGAACTGCGGTCGGAAGGCGAGCGAGACGTGCAGCGGCTGTAATGCGGCGCGTTACTGCGGCTCCTTCTGTCAGCACAAGGACTGGGAGCGACACCATCTCATCTGCAGCCCGGGGCTCCAGACGCAGCCCAAATCCATGCCACGCATCCTGGCCAAAGCTCCGGAGAGCGGCCCGGTCCCGAGTCCAGGCCTGGAGAAGACCTCCAGAGCGTCCACACCAGCCACCCCAGCCTCGTCCTCCTCCATGCCAGACGCCAGCGGACACTGAGAGCCAAGGACTCAATGAAAGAGGAGTTTAACTGCTGGATGTGACTGAAGCAGGACAGTCACACACTTTTCCAGTTTATGGACAGGAGGACGTGTTTTGGCATCGCTTGGTGTGACTCAGCTTGCTTATTTGTGACCCTGGACCACAAAACCAGTCATAAGGGTCAATTTTGCTCATCTGAAAGCTGAATAAATAAGCTTTCCATTGATGTATGGTTAGGTATATGATGGATTGTTAGGATAGGACAATATTTGGCTTACCAATGGATTTGATCATGTCATGGAGGTTTTACTGTACTTTGTAGAGTAATAACATTAAAAAAGTTAAAAAGAGTTCATTGAAAAAAAAAACATAAGTTTACTATTCGGTTAATTTGATAATCCATCTATTTATTTGTCATTATAAGATGTTTTGTTACTGCACTGACCGTAGAATAATATAGACTTGAAAAAGAAACGTGATCAGGAAACACTTTTAAATTTAGGGTAGGAAGACCTGTGTGCGTAAGCTAATCTGTAGCACATTTATGAATGAGGTTACCATGTACAGGATGATGAAGATGCATTAATATATGCTAATTTAGTTGCCATAAGAAAAACTCATTCCAGCTGTAATCTGATTTGGGAAAATATAAATATATACAAATTTACATTTTAATTTATTTTTAAAAAAAACATATTAAACTATGATATATGATATGATATGATATATGATATGATATGCCACATATATAATATAACACCAGAAACATGATACCTCATGCCTTCTGTTCTGGCCCAATTCTGAGAAGCCTCACTTTTCTGTTCTAAATAAAATACTTGTATACACACACACTCACTCTCACACACACACACTCACTCACTCACTCACACACACACACAAAC